CATGCAACCACCAGAGGAACATTTCACACCCGACCTCATGTGACAGGTGGCAGGCGAGATGCATAAAATGACCTGCAGGCTACGTGTGCAGGGTGCTTACGAGTCATACATGGATTCATGCTTAGACTCAGTTCCACTCATTATTCATAAGCAAACATTCTAAGAAATGACAAAATCCAAACACTTTTGATTCCCAGCAGCTTGGATATGGGTATTCAGCCTTTAATAAGAACGTTAACTGCAGACGTGAACCAATCATTCCACTCATTTTCTACAGGAAGCCACTTCCCCATTCTCAGGGCCACCTCTCTGAAATTCCACCTGTCATGGCTCTGAGTGTATGCACTCTACCTTCACTGAAACTCAAGCATCTATAGGTCTGTTTCCCCCCACCCAACTCCTTGAAAATGAGGTCTAGCCATAATCTCTTCTTTTGAACAGGTAGAATGAGATATATATCTATATCTTATCTATATCTATATTGAGAGAGAAAGAGAGAGAGGAGAGACAGAAAGAGATCTTCCATCTGCTAGTTCTCTTCCACAATGGCTGGTGCTGGTCCAGGCTGAAGCCAGGAGCAATGAACTCCATCCGGGTCTTCCACATGGGTACAGGGGTCCAAGCACTTGGGCCAGCTTCTGCAGCTTTCCCAGCTGCATTAGCAGGGAGCTGGCCAGCAAGCAGAGCGATTGGGACCCACACGGACACTCAGATGGGACGCCGGGCTGGAGAAGCAACAGCTTAGCCCTCTGCAAGGTAACGCCAACCTGAGGCCACATTTCTATCCCTCCCTCATCAACACTTCCACTCTCCCACAAGCACGTCCAAAATTTTGGTAATCTTTGCAAACATTTATAAAGGACCATCCATCTTCAGTGTAATGAACACAAAAACTATCTAGGATTTTATTCACAAAAGATGGAGCTTCAACTTTAGTTCATGATATCAGTCACGTACGCTCATAATCACAGGCTGGAGACAGCTCCAAATTCCGCAATTTCTAGGAGACCCAGGGTCTTTAAGGTGTTCAAGGAAGATGTGTGTTCTCTTTCAATTCCCCCTCCCGTGAACTTTTTGACGTGCCCCAGGATGAAGTCAGAACCTGGAGAGTGCTGGAACTGTCTAACAGGTGCAGCAGTGTCTTTCAGGGTTCTTGTGGGTTTTACAAGGGCGGAGCAAATTGGTGAGACCCCCTGCAGCACTGCTGGAAGGGCAGGGGATGGAATTCTGCCTCCTACAAGCCAGGAGTCAATTTTGTAGCAGGTGAAGCAGGGAAAAAGGGTCTTTGAAGCAACCTTGTGACCTGGGCCAGGGGCGTCACACTGACTCCCTCCACACTAAAATCACACCCACTCTGCAGATGAGAACATTGAGCCCCGAGTGGGCTCACAGGGACTCCAGCTGAGGCCCACACCCCTCCGTTCTGGCTGCTTCCGAAGCTGTGCTGCCTGCAGCCAGCCCGCTCCCCGGCTCCTCTGCCAGCCCTCGGCAGCGCCTGCGCCTGTCTTGCTCGTTATGTCTCTGAGAGCAGGGGTGCTGGCAGCCACTGAGATTCCGCCTCGAGCACTGGAAATTAAAACAGCTCGGGCAGAGCTCAGCCTTGCTGACTCCCGGCTGCGCCCCGTCACCTAATTACCTGACTTCTAGTCTGCCTGCTACAGGTGGGAGCCGCGTGTCCCCACAGTGAAAGTACAGCCGCTTGCAGAAAAGAGCAGCACGTGGACAGGGAAATTCAGACCGCCTGTGAGCCAGACTTCAGCCTGGCCTGGAGCCTTACACAGTCACAAAGGCCAGGGGTGCCCGAGAGTCTGGGGTCCATGGAGAAAAAAGGGGAGGGCGGCGGCTGTCTCTTAATAATGGTGCTTGCTGCGCCTGCCTCCCGATCCAGACATGCGGGATCCAGACATAGGGAACATTTTATATGCCCACGGCCGTTTGGATATTTACACCATCATTCACCTGCCATACACAATTACCAACTTAAAACTCAGCCTACTACAGGCCGGTGCCGTGGCTCACTAGGCTAATCCTCCACCTGCGGCGCCGGCACCCTGGGTTCTAGTCCCGGTCGGGGCGCCAGATTCTGTCCTGGTTGCCCCTCTTCCAGGCCAGCTCTCTGCTGTGGCCCAGGAGTGCAGTGGAGGATGGCCCAAGTGCTTGGGCCCCTTCACCCGCATGGGAGACCAGGAGAAGCACCTGGCTCCTGGCTTCGGATCAGTGTAGCTCCGGCCATAGCAGCCATTTGGGGGGTGAACCAACGGAAGGAAGACCTTTCTCTCTGTCTCTAACTCTGCCTGTCAAGACGACAAAAAAAAAAAAAGAGCTCAGCCTGCTCTAGAGGCATTGGATGTTGGGTCCCACCTGCATGGCCTGGGCAGACCTTATTTGGCCCGTGGGCTGGACGTCTCCCACCTGGTTTATACCAGGGAGCTCAAGGCTTCCTCCCCCAAGCCCCAGAAGGGAAGGGCACTCAGCCGTACCTCCCTGACTCGCATGAGACCACCAGACTGGTGATGATACAGGCAGGCACACAGGATCAGATCGATTAGATCTGTCAACTGGAGACCATGCCTTCACCCCAAACCTGTGTGATCTCACGGCCCTACCTGACCTCACCTATATGCCCACCTGCCAATCAGACTACATAAGCACTCCCCTTTGGAAGTGAATAAGAGACCTGGAGCATGGAGGGCCCCTCCCTGTTGTCCTGTGCCTTTGGGCAGGTGGCCTTTTGGCCGCTGTTCTGCCCCTGCTTTCCTGCTCACATGCTTCGCTCCACGTCACTCCCGGCCTGCTCTCTGCCTGGCATGGACCCTGCTTGTGTTTCCAGACTTTTCCTCCCCTAAATAAAGCCCTCACTTTCCTGTGCATTTCTCTCACTGAGTAAGCTGTTAAAAACTTACCATGTAGCCTGGTTTATTTTGTGCTGATATTCACCTGAATAGATGGCAAGAACCCAGAGAATTATTAATATTAAAATTAGTAATAAGGCTGGGTAGGTGGGGAGAGCACCCCTGTCGCTATTCCTGCCTCTGTGGTGGGGCAGGGATGTGGGGGATCTGCAAGGACCCCAGTGAGAGTCCCCTGCCCAGGCTAGACGGGGAGGGGCAAGTCCAGAGCAGCAGGGGGATTCCTAGAATCTTCTGAGCTAAGTTTAGGCTCCTATAAAGCAAGCTGCTTGTACCAATGACTGGCAGTGTCACTGTTTCACAGCAATCGGGCCTGAGGGGCTATTTAAGGTGGGTTTGCAGAAGGAGAGAGGCCAGACAGAAAGGGACTGGCAGCTTCTGCAGAGGGCTGAACTCTGACCTGGGCTCTGCGCCTGGCCAGCTGCTGCCGACCCACCAAACGCAGCCACCGCCCGAGGCAGGCATGAGTAACGATCCCTCCACGTGGGTGAAAACGGAGGGACCGGCGTTTGGTGCAGCTGTTAAGTTGCTGCTCAGGATGTCTGCATCCCGTATCACAGTGCCTGGGGTCCATGTCCACCTCCACGTCTCAGACAGCTGTCCTGGTGCTGCACAGCCCAGGAAGCAGTGCTGACGGCTCAAGGACTCGGGTCCCTGCCACCCACGTGGGAGACCTCGAGCGAGTTCTGGGCTCCTGGCTTCAGCCTGGCCCAGCCACAGCCATTGAGAGGATTTGGGGGGTGAATCAGCAAACAAGAGATCTCTGCTTGTCTCTCTCTCTCTGCCTTTCAAATACATGAAACATTCATGCACACACACAAAGTTCAGATATATGCACACAACACTAGAGACAGAAATGTGAGTGGTTGCTCAGAAGTTGAGCCCAGGCGGCCAGCATGGCTGCACAGTGGGTTTGACGCCAGCTTCCCTTATTAGAGCACCCGTTAGTGGCAGATGTTCTGCTTCTGGTCCTGCTCCCCCCTAAAGCACCTGGGAGGCAGCAGGTAATGGCTCAAGTCCTTGAGCCTCTGCCACCTACATGGGAGACCCAGATGGAGTTCTAGGCTTCTAGGCTCCTGGCTTCAGCCTGGCTCAGCCCTGGCCGTTGCAGCTATTTGGAATAAATCTTTCTGCCTCTCTCTCTGTCTTTGCAATTCTGCCTTTCAGAAAAATAAATTGAACCCAACTTATGTCTGATAACAGGGTTCATCTGTGGTGTCCCAAATTTTTTGAAGCTTATTTCATTTATTTGAAAGGCAGAGTTAGAGAGAGAGAGAGAAAGAGGAGATAGAGAGAGAGGTCTTCCATCCACTGGTTCACTCCCCAAACGGCTGCAATAGCTGGTGCTGGGCGAGGCTATAGTCAGGAGCTTTATTCGGTCACCTACGTGAATGCAGGGCCCCAGGCACTTGGGCCATCTCCCACTCCTTGCCCACATGCATTACCAGAGAGCTGGACCAAGGCTGGAGCAGCCGGGTCTCGAACCAGTGCCCATACGAGAGAGAGGCAGTAGCTTAACCCACTGCGCCACAACACCGGTCCCTGCCCTCCATTTTTCTGTAGATGCTGTCCAATGATGTGGTCGGCTGGAACCCTCAGGACCTGTTAATCATTTTGGTTTTGTATTACGTTGCTTTGTTTTGCTCGAATAAACTCTACTTGACATCACTGGCCTGAGAGGTGTTTCTTTAAAGAGAACAAGCACCTTTGTCACACCAGTTTCTTTCTGTAGCATCTACGGTGGAGGTGAGTCACTGCGACCGAGGTCCTGCGGCCCCAGAGGCTAAAATATTGATTATCTGGGCCACTGGAGAAAAAGCTCGCCCACCTCTGGTCTCAGATGCTACGAGAATGAGAGGCCCCTGTGTTTCCAGAACCTTCCATCAGCTCTGGCTCGGCTCTACCTCAGACTGCTCTCCCTGACTCCCTGCTCAAATAAAGATTCACGTGAGACCCATTTCTGAACAGTGAAGCCAACGATTCTCCCAAGAGCCAAGAAACCAGACCCGTGCGAGCCGCTTCCGAGCCCAGGCTGGCTCTCGCCGACGACAGCCACTGCGAGCGGAAAGTCACCAAGGGACAGCCACTCACTTGCAGTTTTTGCACTTGAGGCCGAAAAGCATTCCTTTCCCACAGACTGTGCATGTCTGAGACATCCAGTACTTGGTGGAAAACCTGTGGGGTACAGACAGAAGGCAGTCAAGGGCAAGGTGATGGCAACCGACCCATTCCCAGGAGGATGCGAGCTTCAAGGGGTAAACCCAAGGGGCCCAGCTTCCCGTCCTGCTGCTTCTGAGAGATGGGGCTTATTCAAGTCACTTACACCACCGCAGCCTTGGTCTTCCAGGCTGTAAAGTGGGGTTAATAACAGCACTGACCTCCTAGGTTGTTGGGAGGATTAAATGCTACCACACCAATCAACACTCCACACAGCACCCATACAGAGAAAGCCCCCGTGGCCTGGATTCTGGCCGTATGATTACCTTGAACACGCCTAGCAGTTGCTTCCTCTGGCACACAGTGCCTGGTGGCCTCCTGTGTGCCAAGTCAGTTCTGGGACAGAGCAACACATGGGGCTGGCACTGCCCTCAGAGAGCCACAGAGCCAGCTGGGGGCTCTGTCAATCGCTGCTGGCCACGTTGCCTGGGCGACTTCAAGGGGGTGGGAGGTGGGGTTCTCCTCCCAGAAGAACTGGACCCCAAACTTTATTCGCAGTCGAGAGTCCCAGAAAGGGAAATCTGATCAGGCCCTTAGCTCCCTTTCCTGCCCAGCTGCCACCGCCTACCAGCGACATCAGCCAGTCTGGAGGTCGCCCATGCAGGATTAGGAACCCAGAGGGGCAGAGGTGCCTTAAGTTAACTGCCTGGCCCCTCGCAGAGGCAGCTGGGACATTTTCTCCCCCAGGAGATAGCAGGCAGCAGCAGGGCTGGGCACCAGAGAAGTCATGAAGGTTGCCGGGTTACAGTTAATTTTAATTTTCAATTTGTGTTGCAGTCAGCAGGAGTTATATCTAATCTCCACTGCCTCTGAGTGTCAAGAGGGAAATCGGAAGTGATTATGCAACTGGGGCCCGCGGGCTGGGAGGGGAAGGCGGCAGCCCTCTGTGGTCCTTCCCACTAGTCACTCTCCAGAGCCCAGAGCCCAAAGCTAAGCAAACGGCAGCTTCCCCAGCAGGGACACTCTGGTCAAGAAAACCCTCCCTTCCTCCAGCTCTGGGCTCGGGGTTGGGCTAAGCCCTTTGGGTCTCTTCTGCAAGGCCAGCGAGTTTACAAGGTCTGGTTTGCAGGATACGGCAGCACTAGAGGTGGTGAACGGGCGTGAGATTCACCCAGTAGTGGCAGCGGGACAGTGGGACAGTGGGACAGTGGGACAGCGGGCAGTGTCACAAGCAGGGAGTGGCAGGCTCTTCCCCTTCCAGCCCGAGGTTCAGTTCTCCCTCGTTCCTGGCTCTGGCCTGGGGGACTCTGATGAAAGCAGATGGGATTTTGATTTCCCTTCTCCACCAACGTTAGGGTAAATCCAGCTCTCTTGCTCCTGATACGCAGTCTGGGGCGAGGCGGCCCACTCATCACAGTCCCAGCAACCCCAGCTGCCCCCCCCCCCCGCCATGCCCTTGATAATGAGGTTGTTTTCCCTCCCCAAGGCCTCACCATCTGACCCTGAGGTTGCACCAGGGTCTAAGATCAGGACTGGAGAGAGAGGGGTGGGGCTCATCCAGGGACTTGGCCCATCCTGGGATAGCCTGGAGCTAGGGGCGGGGCCAGTCCCAGGTGGGTGGGGCATAGCCAAACCAGAGGTGGCACTGGGCCAGGGGCGGGGCCAATCCCAGGGTAGAGTTGAGCTGGGGTGTGGCCAAGCCAGGGGTAGAACTGAGCCTGGGGCAGTGAGGAAGCCAACACGGAGGCCTGCCTGGCCAGTGTCTATCGCACTTCTCACTGCCTCCTGCTTTCTCATTTGAGTCTTCACAACGACGCTGTCCACACATTTCTTCCAGCAGCTGTTGGCAAGATGCCATTCTGTGAGAGTGCTCGGTCCAGCCTGGCCCCGGGCTCTCCCCACCCCCAGACAGCCCTGACCCTTCATTCGGCCATGGTCAGCCTGCCCGGCCCTGGGACCATGAGCTCCCCATGGGCACAGGCTCATGTCTCACTCAGTGCTGCGACACTGGCATTGCACCCCTATAAGTACCCGGGCAAAGACTCCGTGAATGACTGCACACGTTCCTCAGTGGCTTCCCAGAGGGCCGTGCAGAAAACACTCAGCCGTGGCGTTCCAAGAACACAACTTATTCTTCCAGGGCCTCAGTATTCCCTTCTGTCCAATGGGCATGACCACACTGAGACAAAATGGGGAAGATTAACTTTGAGAAGTTCCAGGACTTCTCAGAAGGGATGATTGGCAGATGTGAAGCTCCCTCCCAGGACCAGCTTGGGGGGTCTCCAGGAAAGGTTTTCTGGGCCCCCAGCAAGGCTGGAGCTCTGCACTCACCTGGACCTCCCTGAACGAACACCTCTGAGTTCAGCCTGCAGTCTTCTGTGTTCTGGGTGGAGGATCCCAGAACTGAGACTCAGATCCTAACAAAGACGTTGTTTATCCTGTGTTTTGTCTATATCATCTCATTTGATCCTCCCAACCACCTCCAGGTAGGCTGAATTATCTGATGCAAAGATGGAGCCTGGGAGAGGCAAAGGAACTCCCTCAGAGCTGCAAAGCTGCGATGGGCACACAGGGCAGCCTGAGCCCACAGCTGCGGCTGGGAACCACTGTGTGCTGCTTATACAAGGGCTGGGTCAACAAGAAGCAGACACCTCAGTCCTCTGGCTGACGCTCAGTCTGGGAGAGGAGAGAGGGGCTACAGGGGTAAAATACACTGCCCCTCGGGCGATGAGTGGGCACCGGAGCCCCCAGGAATCCCGCCTACCTGTGCTTGATGGAGTTGCCGAGGTCTCTGCGGGGGATCTGCGGGGACCAGCGTGGCACGGACAGCGTGTCTGCAGGGAGAGAAGAGAGGGCCTGTTACATAGAGGGTCAGTGGCTGGGGTGGGCCTTGGACATGCCCTGGAAGGGACCTGGAGGCTTGGGGACCTCAGGAAGGACACCAACCACCATCACTTGCTTGACCAAAGCCAAGCAGAACCCTGAGTTAGCTGTTACCCAACTTGTTACCCAACTGGGCAAGGGTCCCTGGGCAGGGCAGCCGGGTGGACCTTGAGAAGAGTCAGATGCGTTAAGGACAAAGTGGAGCATCGCTTCCATTTAAGGAGCATGTAGTGCTGCAGGCGCGGGCTAAGTGACTCACACGCCTGAGCTCACAACACCCGCAAAACAACCCCAGAACAGGGATCGCCGGCGCCCCTACCTTGCAGATGAGGCTCAGAGAGGGGCAGTCGCTTGGCGAAGGCTGCACAGCAGCTGTGCCCCCAGCTTGAGAGACTCCAGGACGTGTGCAAAGTCAGAGTGTAGCAGGTCCTGTTCCCCTTTCCCACACCTGCCACGCCTCTCTGTAACTCATAAAATGACTCACTGAACATTCTAAGAGTTTTTGCTTTTCAAAGCAAACTCTAGGGGAGCAGGTGTTTGATGCCCCCAACCCATACTGGAGTGCCGGTGTTCAAGTCCTGGCTTTGCTCCCAATTCTAGCCTCCTTGACTACGCACCCTGGGAGGCAGCAGGTGATGGCTCAAGTAATTGAGCCCCTGACACCCACACTGGAGACATGAATTGAGTTCCTGGCTCCTGGCTTTGGGCCAGACTTGAGAGCAATTGGGGAGTGAACCAGTAGATGGGATCTCTCTCTCTCTCTCTCTCTCTCTCTCTCTCTCTCACACACACGCACACACGCACACACACACATTTACACAACCCCCAAAATAAATGAATAAAATAAATAAAATGTCAAACCATAAATCACTTAAAGTCATACTAGAGTAAGTAGATGGATCAACAAGTGAAAAGGATAGTTGATGGATGGTGGGTGGGTGGATGGGTGGATGGATGGATGGGTAGATGAGTGGCTGCTTGGATAGGTGAGTGGGAAGATTAATGAATGGATGGAGGCAGGGAGAGATGGACTGGTCATTGGGTATGTGGATGGATGGAGAGACAGGTGAGTGGATGAGTGAATGCGTGGATAGATTTTCAGGTAGAAAGACAGGGAGTAGGTAGATGGACAGGTGGGCTGGTGAGTGAATAGAAAGATGGGTGAACGGATGGATGGGCAAATGGGAATGAAGAAGAAAGTATAAACTACGCAGACTTCAGACTGGGCCCCGCCACCATCTGGTCTTGTCTTTTGTGCCTCCAATTCCCTTCCAATGAGCTGTCCCCTTGCTCTGACCCTGAGTTCATGGTGATCTTCCGCAGAGGCGGATAAGCAGCCCCCACCTGCACCCCAGGCCTGGAGGCCCACACCGCCCTGTGGGCAGAGGTGTGGGCCAACGGTGCTGCCTGGGAGGATGCTCTCCTCCAGTGGGGACAGAAGCGAGCGGCAGCCCCGGCCAGCTCCGCTTTCTCAGGCCAGGTGGATGGAGCTGGCTCCACGCTCCTTAGTAGCAGAGGGAGCTTCGTCTTTCACGCCAGTTGTTCCAGGGCGGGGAGCTGTTGGGAGCCGGGCACGTCAGAACCTGTCTGGGGCATGTATCCCCCAGCCTGCTCCCAACAACACCGTCGGCTGCCATGTGATGGCTGTTTCCAGAGCCCCAGATCTGCCCCTGTAAATCTGGGAGCCTTTCTGGGAGAGCGACGGATCTTCCCAGCCCCAAAGGGCAGAAGAGACGAGAGAGAGGGAGAGAAAGAGAGAGAGTCAGAGACAGAGAGACAGAGAGAGACAACACACCTTCAGTGGGTGGCACACAGGATCTGCCTGGGTATAACTGCAAACAAAATGTCACCAAGCTCGGGTTTAGCGCTTGCTTCAGTCTGGGAGTGAAACAAAGAGACAGCTCCAGAAGAGGCTTCTTCCCACTCCTGTCTCCTCTGGGGACAGAAGTCAGAGGGGAGAGGAAGCAGGCAGCCCGTTCACTCCTCTAAGGGGTCACAGGCAGGAAACCTGTACGGAGGGAAGTGTTCACCTCCTCACATAGAACCTGCAAGACCAGGAGGACAAGGGGCTGACGGGAGACCTGTGTTGAGAAGGATTCTGAGGCTCCACAGGAAGGAGCCCCACGATCGACTGGCAATGTCTGCTGTGAGTGAAGGACGAGGTCGTCCTGACCAGTGCACGTGTGTTTGCCGCCCCTGCAAGGTGTGTTTGCCACCTCCTAGCATGGTGGCCGGGCTAAAGCAAGGACTTAATGCAAGCTGGCCGCCCAATCTAAGATTATTGTGATGCAAACATTGAGTCTGCTGGTCATTCAATATGCATTAGGCCTTTGGCTGCACATTTTATGCCCGGAAGCTACGCCCCTGTGTGGTCAGGGCTACTGCTGTTTCCACTGTTTGTAGGAAGACAAAGGAGCTCTGAGACATGCAGTGACTAGCCAAAGGTCACACAGGCAAAGGTCACAAAGGTCACACCAGCTGAGCCTCAGGAGGTCACTCTGCCAGAGGAGCTTCTGTCCCTTAGAGAGTATTTGGCAAAGTCTGGGGGTGTTTTGGATCATCTCACTAGGGGTGTGTGTGTGTGTGTGTGTGTGTGTACACTACTAGCATCTATTAGAGAGACATGTTTGACATCCCATAATACACAGCACAGGTGTCAACTGCAACAATTAACTGGCCCCACATGCCAACGGCACCAACGCTGAGAATTCCTGATCTAGACGCTTCTCTGCCTCTCTAGCCAACTCCTCCCTGACCACAAGCCACTCCTCACCCCTCCCCACCAAAAAAGAATAATCTTTAGAAGCTCAAGGGAGCAGAGAACAAATCCTCTTTTATTATAAGCACATCTCGCTATTAGATTCATCTCCTAGTTACTCTGTTACTCTCGATTGCAGCACCTTTTCAAAAAAGTAGCTGTAATTAAGTTCAGTAACTTGGATTCATTTCCCATAGCTGGTTGAAGGTGAAACTCTGTCAATTACATTAAGTGCTACAGCATCATTAGTCTCAAGCAATAATAACTTGCACACAGCTTCCTACGTGGGTGTGTGGATCTGAACTTTGAGGTCCTCTCTTTACTTTCTTTGTTTGGATTTCATTAAACTTGCCAATGTAAATCTTAAAGCAAAGGAAACTGTTGGAGGAGAAGGGGGAAGGAATCTCTGAAAATCCGGCCCTTATCACAACAGAGAAAGCAAACAGCATTGACAGCAATTAAACCGATATAGAAACCTCTGTTTAACAATCAAAGCCCCTATTAAGATGTCTCCTTAGCTGAACCAAAGATTTTCTACTCTCATTTTCTGATAGCAATCACACAGACGGGAGGCAGAATTCTTCAAGTCCCTGGAGCCTTCAGTCTCAGGGGTGAAACTGTAGACATTTCTTCTTGGATGTTGGCATTGCTGGTGCATGGAAAGGGACAGAGCGCCAAGGCAGGAGGTGGCTGCTCCCCTCTGTGCTCGCAGCAATGCCTCTGGGCAGAAGAAGGGGCCAAAGCCTGCCCTTGAAGACCATGAAGACCATCTTGGTAGTCAGAGAGACAAATCAAAGGCCCAAGAAAGGGAACCAGCATGAGTGATGAAGCGACAGAACTTCATCATGAAAATCTCCGGCTCTGGCCCGGATGGTTTAAAATCAGGTGAGTCAGGTGTGGGAAACACACACACAGGGTTGCGGACAGAGACACCAGGAGAATGGTGTGATGGTAACGTGAGCGGAAGGAGAGGAAGGGAAGGAGAGAGCAGGGGAAATCAGAAATGAGAACAGTAACAGCTCTGCTTTCCGTGGAGCGGCACTGGGCGCCAGGCACAACTGCCAATCAAGCCCTTGCATATTCCTTCATTTAATCCTTTCAAGGGTAGTTCAAAAAATTCACAGAAAATGAAATTAAAATATGTTTATTTGAGTGCAAAAAGTTTGAGATCCATGCACATGAGGGGGGTCTTTGAAAAGTTTATGGGAAAATGTATCTTATGAAAAACCTATCGAACTTTTTGAAACAACCTCACCGATGATCTCATTTAATACGAATAAGACAGTGGACATGCACATGCGGTACGTCAGCCACGGTCACTAGCTTTGGTTTCACCAACAGGAAAGCACAGAGTCGTGCCATTTGTCCAAGGCAAGAAAATGACAGAACGGGGATTTTTAATTCGGGTCACATGGCGGGGGCTTGATGAACGTTGCCAATTTCATTCCCATTTCATAGAGGGGGCAAAGAGGTTGAGAAGCCAGAAGCCATGGTCTACAGATGACTGGTATGAAGCTGGAATTTAAACCACATACTGGAGCAAACTGGATGCTTCCAGGCCAGACTGCCTGCCTACGAACCGTCCATAACTCTGCCCTCTATGTGGGAAGTCCAGGAGGGAGTGAGGCACCCGCCCTCTTAGGCTCCGCCTCCAGAAACTGCAAGAGGCCAGGGAGGGGGTGATTCCCCCGAGTCTCAGAAGCACCCTGACTTTAGTCCCATGAGACCCATTTAGCACTTCTGACCTCCAGAACCGGAAGATAACACATTTGTGGTCTTTAAACCACCAAGTTTCTGGTCGTTGGGGAAACCCACACATCACCCATCTTGGGTCAGGAAGGCTGTTAGGAACTTGGGGTATGGTGAACAGCACAACCCAGTTGTCTGAGCTCAGAGTCTAGTAGGGGAATCAAAAAGCAAATGAAGGCGAAAAAAAAAAAAAAAAAAAAAGCCCATGAGGAAAAGTTAACAGGTCAGGCTCCCGGGCTGTTTTAAAGCAATGGGATCCCTGCAGTGCATTGGAAGGAAGGCAGGATTCTGTGGAGTTAGGAGCGCCCTCTGGCGGCTGAGGGGAACTCTCCCTTCAGGCCATGACATGTGAAACAGGAGCAGGGCCTCCCCTCCTCCTGTGCCCCCATCCCCCAACTCCCATCCATCCTCATGACTCTTACAAGGCAAACCCATCTCCCCACC